GGGTGGCGGGGGTCGCGGGAACAAGAGGGACTCACCTCGAGTTGGAGGGCGTCCGGTTCTCTCGGTGTCGGCGTTATCCCGGCTCAGCTCTTCCGGAGGCAGAGGGGCTGCCCAGAACAGGAAGTTCCGCCCCTTTATGCTCCGTCAGTGTGGGGGGCGTGGTTGCCTTAGGCCCCGCCCCACTGTTAGGGTCCCTCCCGGAGCTGTCCCCTGAGAGGCCCCTGCCGGACTTGACTGTGTCCTGCTTTGGGTCCTCTGATTGGGCCTCTTTGTTTTCACTTGTGGCTCTCTGAAATTCCTTCCTCTTGCTTGCCCTTTCTTCTCTAAATTGTAAAACATTTTTTTCCTTTTTATTTTGTCCATTTCTTCTTTCATCTTCCATTGATTTCTGTTTTCCCCATTGCGCTTTCTTTTCTCATTTCTCTCATTTACTCCATAGCATTATTTTGACAGAACGCTAAATTGGAGATATGACCCCACTTGTGCAGCTTTATTTGTCAAACCTATATTAGACTTTTTTTTTCAGTAACTGATAACCAGTACCAAATGCCCATCTTCTTGGTAATTCATTTGGATGCCAGTTATTGAGAATTTACTATGCTTCAGGCAATTTTTTATATGCATCATTTTACTTAAACGTTGTAACTGTTCCATGAAGTAGGTATAATTAGCTTCATATCTTCTGGGGCCTCAGAAGCAAAAGTTTTTCTCTGGTCTTTCACCTTCCTGTCTTCCACCCCACATTCTCCTACATATGCTAGCCATAGAAACTGGAATCTCTCTTGCCAAAGGCTAGACATAGAAACCAGAACTCCTTTTCCCCAAATTCAATCATAAAACCTAAACATATTACTTTAATATTCCCTCTGCCTCTCCGTGTAAAAATTGACCATAAAGTAATTACCTGAACCACCTTTCCTGACTGTTGGTCATAAGATTCCAGATTCGATTCCGTCTCATAATGAGAAGGAAGGCATGAGAGATCTGAAAGGGTGAGAAGGATCTAAACAGACTAGCCTTGCTGGGTTTCCCCACTCAGTCTATTAATGATAGATTATACCGGTTTTTGCCAATTGTATTTCTACACAGCTGTCCATGCTTTGTTGGACCTAGGCATAGAAATAGTTTTCCTGTGTCTTTAGTATCTTCACTCTGAAGTCTTTCATATCACATAAAGCTATGATCATATACATTTGTATGCCTACCCCTTAATAATCTGCCTTTTATCAGTTGATTTTCAGTGAATCTTCTTAAGGCTAAGGGGAAATTTTCCCTTTGGCCCTATAAGAGTCCTCACACAGACTATATGGCAGAATGTGGTTGCATTATATGAGGCACAAGGACTACTCTATGGTCTTTAAAATGGTGCTTCTTCTTGAAAGGTGGTATCATGGTACATATATATTATTGTAATGTAAGAAGCAATGTACAGATACAAGATGTCCTAGCCACAACAGGTCCAAAAGAGCGAGTTATTTGGCTCCTTGCTTACGAAGTGATTGTTTCATTAAATCAAAAGACAAGATGTTGTTACCAACATATATTGTATATATTGCAAATAATATACTTCTCAAAGATGAATGATATGAACTGTGGGTGCAATTCTCACACCTCACAAAAAACAAGAAACCTGTCTTTATTTTTCTAAAGAATGATACCTTAGGTATCTCATTTGGATACCTCTATTTGCCTGTCAAATGATACTTTTGTTTTCTTGATTTAAAAAAAAGAAAGCCTTCAAAAATTAAGTTTTAGAGGTCTTTTTGTTTGTTTTTGGTTCTTCATGGTCAATCATCTTAACATAATAATTTTGCCAACCACATGCTGCCAAGTGTTGATTTGTAGTCAAGTAAAATTGCTCAGACTTTTGCAGAAATGTCATCAGTCACCTCTAAAGCTTTTGTAGGCCGGGCACGGTGGCTCACCTCTGTAATTCCAGCACTTTGGGAGGCAGAAGCAAGAAAATTGCGTGAGCTCAGGAGTTCAAGATCAGCCTGAACAACATGGCAAGACCTCATCTCTACAATAAATTTTTTTAAAAAATTAGCTGGGCATGGTGGCGCATGCCTGTGGTTCCAGCTACTTGGAAGGCTGAGGCAGAAGGATCACCTGAGCCCAGCAGGTCAAGGTTGTGGTGGCCATGAGTGTGCCACTGCACTCCAGCCTCGGTGACAGAATGAGAATCTGACTCAATAATAATGATAATAATAATAAGCTTTTGTAAATGCTGCTAAAATCAGTGTAACCAATTTGAAGTAACATGAATAAAATATCAAATATTCCTCCAAATTAAAACAATCAGGTGAGCAGGAAGTCTGTTTCTTTTCTAGAGGCCTCAGCTGTTACGTCACATTTGTTCTCAGGGACCTCAGTGCTTTTCAGTCCAAGGAGGCCATTCTGCTTCCAAATGCCTTATAGATAATAAAATGAAAAATCTGCCAGGGCACAGGGAAGTCTAGTGTTCAGATCCAGTTGTGGCAATGCTGCAAACTGGTCCCACACAGTTCAAAGGATCTTTTGTCAAATGTTGTGAAAGTAGTTCAGATGGTTGCAGAGAACTCAGTATGGGATGCAATGCTTTTGAGTTCCAACAAAGCAGTTTTAAAAGCTACAGTCACATCAACCATTGTTCCCAATCTCAAAGAACATCTGCATTGCCCAGGTGGTTGAGGGGGCAAGGGACAGGAGGACAAAGTCTGCTTCCAGGCATGGTGTCCAGCTCATATTCATGCCATCCTTCCTAAAGTCAGGTTTCCTTTTGTGAACCTTTGATATCCTTTCCTGTTAGCTAGCTCCCATCTATGATTGGGGTTCTAATTATGCTAAATCTCAAAATGAAAAGAGAGGAGAGATCCAATGCCCCAGACACCTAGCTGTACATGTGAAAGTGCTGGGGGGAATATTATCTTTTGTGAAGCCACAAAGTGGTCTTGTCATCCTTCCCCAGGAGGAATAGGTCCTACTTGTTCTGAATTTGCATAATAAAGAGAGGCAACCACAGGAATTCCTTCCTCAGAAACTATGGGAGTCTTGCCAACTCCACTTGGCCTTTGGAGTTTATTTCTTTGAAATGTCCAATCTTATTACTAAAAAAAATTCAGATTCCACATGCCAAGACCTTTTTAATAGTTAATTATTTAAGTGGACTTTGGTTGGTTCAAAATGATCAAATTTACATACACTATGTGCAGCTGCTTGGGGTGGAGTGTCTAGGATATCTAATATGATCTCACGTTTTAATATAACAGATCAGAGTCACAGATATTGGTTAACACATCTGACATATCTTTGTAATGCCAACAACTTTCCAGATATAAAATACACATCATAGCAATGTTATTCTTGGAACATAGAATCATATCTTTTTTTTGTTTTTTTGTTTTGTTTCTGTTTTGAATTGGAATTTTACTCCGTCGTCCAGGCTGGAGTGCAGTGGCATGGTTACAGCCACTGCAGCCTTGACCTGCTGGGCTCAGGCAATCCTTCCGCCTCAGCCTTGCAAGTAGCTGGAACTATAGGCACACAGAATCACCCCTCCTAAGGGCTAGAAAGAAACTTTAAAACACTGGACAAACCCTTTTATTTCTGGATCTTTAGTCTACCTGATCATGGCTGTGTGAAATAGTTGGTATGAACCCAACCAATTACACAGTTTGCTTTATGCCTCTCATTTAAAAAAAAAAAAAAGGAATAATTTGGATCACTCTATCTCCATCCAAATTTTTGGACAAGTTTTACTATGTAAAATAGTATGTATTTCCAGTCTTTACTGTAAAAGAAAATATATTCCAAATTTCATCCATTCACTTTCAGCTGCTTCATAAGGTATACAATCATTCAAATATGCATAGAGTATCAATAACAATAATAGAGCTTACTATGTTTTTGGCAATGTTCTGAGGATCTCCCTCATATTAAGTTACTTAATCTTCACAATACCATGAGATAGGTATTATTATTTATTCCTATTTTCCACATGAATTTGGGCAGAGAAATTAAGGTGAAAAATATCAACCAGCAGGTTGGTGAGTTGACAGAACTGAAAGTTCAGACCCAGACATAGTCTGACTCCAGAGTATTTGATCCTGACCTTCATAGGTATTACTGATTAATTAACTGAATAAATGTTAAATTAATACTCACTCTGCTTAATACATTGTGCAAACACTGTAGGGATTTTAAAGAATAGTACATGGTCCTTGTTCTAAGGAAGCTCCTAGTTTGGTTACTGTCTTAATTAGAAAGCAAATACAGTGTGTGGTTATCCTCATCCACCTGAACATTTTTCACTTTAGACCATCACCCCGTCCACAATGCTAGGTCATAGAGTTTTATGCCAGAATCACAACTTACAAAGTTGATCAAAATCTTAAACCTCAGTTGAATCTCTCTATTTTAAAGATTAAAAATTGAAGTAAAAACAAGTATCTTGTTTGAGGTCACAAGGTTAATAATAAAGTACAGCTAGAAAGGTCAGTGTCCTGTCAATGTATATAAATTGCTTGGCACGGTGGTTCAAGCCTGTAAACCCAGCACTTTGGGAGGCCGAGGCAAGAGGATTGTCTGAGTCCAGGGATCTGAGGCCAGCCTGGGAACTTGGTGAGACCTCATCTTTACAATACATCCAAAAATTAGCTGGGCATGGTGGCATGTGTAGTTCCAGCTACTTGGAAGGCTGAGGAGGAAGGATTGCCTAAACCCAGCAGGTTGAGGCTGCCGTGGCTGTGAGCATGCCACTGCTCTCCAACCTGGGTGACAGAGTGACAGAATCTGATTCAAACACACACACACACACACACACACACACACACACATATAAATATATATGTTAAGTTTGTGTCAATGTAGTTCTACTTTAAACCCCTATGCTTAAATTTCTTGTTTAAAGAAGTAAAATATTCCACATAGGCAGTGATCATTTTATGAATGAAGTAACCATCTACCACTAAACAGATATTTTATAAATCTTGGTGGTTATATATTGGATTTCGTGACACAAACAAACATTATTCTATCAGCTTGCAAAGTAAACAAGCATTTCCTAATACTATGAGCAAGATGATGAACAACACTGATAGAAGACGTTGAAAGTTTGTAGTCTAACCTCTATGGAAAACAGTGTGGCGATTTCTAAAAGAACTAGAAATTGACCTTCCAGCAGGTCAGTCTAACCATCCCCCTTTTGGTAAAATACCCAGAGGAACACAAATTGTTCTACAAAAAAGACACCTGCACACACATGCTTATTGCCACACTATTTACAATAGCAAACATGGAACCAACCCTACTGTCCATTGAAAGTAGACTGGAAAAAGAAAATGTGGTGAATACACTCGATGGAATATTACACAACCATAAAGAAAGACAAAATCATGGACCTCACAAGAAATTGGATGGAATTGGAGACAATCATACTTAGTGACCTATCACAAAAACAAAGACCTGAATATCACATGTTCTCACTCATAAGAGTGACCTGAACACTAATCACAATAACACAAGGAAGGAATGGGTAGTTGTGGGACACTGGCAGGGGCTGGGGGTAGGGGGGTGCATAACAACACAAAGGGTACCTGGTCCTAAACCAGGGGAAGTGAGGGCTGGCTGGAGACCTGCATGTAGACTACTTATGTACCTATACTGACTTGTACACCATATCTTTATAATAAAATAAACAAATCATTATCATCAAAACCATAGAGTTGAGGTGGGAATTATGTTCACATAGTTAAAATATTATAAATTAAAAACTTGTTAGATTATTAGAAGATTGGGGTAAAGGAACATGTGTTGGGTAAAGGAACAGTTTATACAGTGAACTATGGTGTCTAAATCTTTGCCCTTCATGGCAAAAGATCTGCAAATAATGTCTAGCTTTGAAAAATCACCAAGGGGCACATACAAAACTCCCAGAAAGAGCTAGAATAAAACTGGCTGACATTGGGTTATGTGAATAATTTGGAGGGAGGTATCAGCAGAGGTCTAATCTGCTTTATTATGAATTTTATGGTACTATTTAACATTTAAACCTGGACACATATTATGTGATAAACAAATTATTTTACTTAAAAAACTTAAATAGAGAGTAGAAAAAAAGACAAGAGCATAATTCCATAGGCATCTAATGACCCGGCTAAGCTAGTCCTACCATTCTCAATTGTCAGGAACCAAACATGGGGCTGGTTTTTTCACAAAACAAAGTCCCAATCAGCAGGTTATGTTTTTCTTATATTAACATCACTTTTTGCAATAAATTGCTCGCCTGTGCAAGACAAATCAAGATTCCTCTGTATTTTCAAGAAACAATTCATTAAAAATATTTTTTCTTCTAAAAAAAATGTTGAAAGTTTGACATTTCATACATAGTTATCAGATTGCTACTTCAAACCAGCAGCAGATATAACAGGATTAAAAGTTCAAACTCTGATAAAATAATAATAGTAGCAAACACTGTGCACTTATTAATAATATATATAATGATAATATCATGTGCCAAGTCCTCTTCTAAGCACATTCCATGTATGCTCTCATTTAATTCCCAGGATCATCTGATGGAGTTGACAACAATTTCTCCACTTTTAAATGAGGAAACTGGACTGTAGAGTGATAAAGCAATTTACCTATAGTCATAAAGCCAGGAAACAGGGAAAGCAGGATTATTTAGGGTGATATTTCCTACTCTTGGTGCCCACACTTTATTTGGAGAAGAGTGTAGATTGGCCTAGATACTTAAAACTTCTGTTGAAAATTCAAAACTCAAAAATGAATATTGGTACTTTTTAAAAGCACCAATATTCATTTAGGCCCTAGTTTGTCCTTTAAGAGGTTATTTGAATGAACACATAGAAAATATTGTGCTAGACATAATGGGGAATATAAAAATGAATAAAGATTGTTTTTATGCTCAAGAATTTACAGCAAGATAGGAAGGATAAAATAGGAACACAAATAGCTGTAAAGCAAGCCAGGTTGGCTAGCATGAACATGGACATATTCATGAGATGTTGAGTCATCCTGTTTGATTGAGAAAAGGCTGTGTAGAAAGAAGCAGAAGAGAAAAAAATTGGCAAACTAGATTAAGGTCAAATAGTAGAGTGTAATCGCGTTCTACTAAGAAATGCAGACTTTATTTGAAAAGCAAAAAGACATCATTGCAGGGAAATTACATGATCAATTTTAGAATTTAGGAAAATTAATCTGAGACTGATTTGAAGCTAGACAAAGATACCTGAAGTCAGTTTAGGAATGTTTAGGGAAGAAACAGTCTAATGCTGGGAATTGACAGGACACTGACAAAGACATTGTAGGCCATTTCTGGGAAAAGGTTGACTGTAGGGAAAAGGTTGACTATAAAGCAAAAAAAAAAAAAAAAAAAAAAGAAGATAGAGAAGAGGGAGAAGAACTGACCCTGTGTTTTAGGTAAAAACTGTGTTTCAAGGTAAATAGTAGTGCCTCTGGGTTAGATGGAAGACAGGAGAAAGTGCAGCTCTGAGAGCAGAGGTGTTACATTTAGTTTAAGACATGCTCGCTCATTTTGATGTGCCAATGAGAGATTCACATAAAAATTTACATATTCATTTACTGAGTGAGAATTTATCAAATGTCTGCTATACAGACATCCTTTCCTTAATTACTTAAGATATATCATAATCACTAAAGAAGAAGCTTTTAAATTGTATTTTCTCATTTAAGAGACCATTAAGAGTATCATATTCATATTGTATTCTATAAAATATTCTCAAACGAACAAATTTGGAAAGTTGTCTCCTTTCTCTGAACTTATCTTGTATTTTTCCATCTCTATCACTCACTGCTTCCCTTGCAAGTATGATTATATATATTGTATATATTATCTCCCTCCCGATGTGAAATTTTTAACCAGATCTGAAGTGACTTAATAACATGCATTATTTTAGATAATCTTTGAATCTCCTCCAGTGCTCACCCAGAGAAGAAATTCAGTAATGTCTTAATTGTTAGACTAGGATTTTTTTTTTCCTTTTATCTTCTACAATAAGGCTACACATTTTCTTAGCCTTGTAGACTAGAAGGATCAGTAACATTTCACAGCCAGAACACATGGCTACCGTAAAAGGAGCCACAGAGGCTAAGTTTGCCTTGGGCTGCGAAAAAGAAAGCTGAATAATGGCAAGGGCTAAGAAACTGTTTAATATCCCACTTTCAATAGCAATGGTTTTACAAACAGGAAGAGGCAACATACAGACTTTAGCAAAGGAGTATCCAAACAGCAAACCCAAAGCAGGAACTAAGAGACCCAACAGAAGCACCGCTATATTAGCTATTTTTAGAAACATTAATCCCATTTTGAAAGTCAAATAAATCCCAACAGACATTAAAATACAACTCAGAGGTCTAATTATTTTCTCTAAGAAGTTTGCTTTTTCGGGTATTCTACGCTTGATGACTATTCCTACTGATATTGGGATAAGTATAAAAAGAAGTGTTGATACAACTTTAGAAACAGGAATATGAAATGTTCCTGATAAGCCTAATATCTTACTGTATATATATGAATTGGTAGGCATCATGATCAAGGCCAATAATGTTGATGTGCAAGTCATCAGAATGGCCAAAGTGATGTCTCCATCTAGAAGCAGAGCAAAGAGATAGCCCCCACCCCCGCCTGGGCACGTGCAGGTCATTACAAATCCAAAAGCTTGTGCCTCAGGCAACGCCAATATCTGAGACAGAAGAAATCCACAAAATGGCATAAGAAAAAATTGTGTAACTGCCCCCAGAATTACTGGCAAAGGTCTCTTCCATACTGTTTGAAACACCTGTAATTCAATCTTGCAACCAAAAGCACACTTATTTAGCAGTATCACTGGTAAAATAAGCACTAGGATATTTCTATCAATATGCACTGATGCCTGGAGAAGACTATCTGTTGTTTGTTTGAGCACTTTGACTTTGACATTCTTGATTTCTTCAATGAGTCTTTCTTGCCTACCTTCAGAATCCCAGAGCTGAATGGTTAAATTAGTTTCTCCTTCTTCATCTGTCACCAGGTTTATGGTGAAGTTTGTAATATCCGGTGAGAACTTCTTGGTCACATTTACCACTTGCAGCAATTGAGGATCTTCTGATTGCACAAAGAGGTAGCTGGAATTAAGCTGTTTATCTTTGTAGTTTGAACTTACAGTGATGATTTCTTCCATCTTTGTGAAAAATAGGATTTCAGTTTGCTCTATATTCAGAAAACTGAGAAATGATTTTTTTGCTTCTCCCAGAGTCACAAAAAACAAAAATAGAACAACAAAAAGCTGGCTAACCATTTTGAACATTTAAAGAAATCATATAAACAAAACCTTTTTTTAAAAAACGCAAGAGCACTCTTCATACAGGTGTTCCGGCGATGGTCTGAGGTTAAGTAATAGTTGTTTTTGCTGGATCAAAGTCCAGTAGGAGGGACTGCTCTACTTTTCAAACAAATATAAAGCTAGATTGTCTAGTGAGTGACACAACCTGTTTAACTTGTAGTTAAGAAAATTTAAAAGTCATGACATTTATAAGATTCAATTTAATCACAGCAGAATACTAATCCCTTTTCTCCTGGACTTCCTTATTTCTGCTAATGTCAAAATAGCCTCCTGTTACCTGAATTTAAAACCTTGGCATCATCATCTTCCATTCTCTTTCTCACTAAGAAAAATTTATACCAAAAGCAGTCAGGATCACAAAACCTTATAACAGATATTGAAGAGGTCTGGAGGTCAGTATTACTATTTTATTAATCAAGTCAAAAATCAAATATTCACTGAACATCTATCTGTCTGGGGCCCTGAGCTGGGAGCTGGCCATACCATAGCAATCAAACCAGATGCCTTTGAGTTTAGTGGGGCGGCCCAATATCATTGGCTAGAAAACTGCAGCACCCATAAACTGATCTTGGCAGCATTCTTAGACTGCTAATAGTTTTCCAACAGCCTTAAGTGGTGACTGGATCTGTCAGGTAAAAACTGAAATCGATTTTGGTGTCTTTAAGTAAGAATATACTTTCCTGGAGGTTTCCAGATAATTTGAGATCATAGGAAAAGTAGGTACCAAGGTCAAGGGCACAGCCTAGTTAAGGGGCTGCTGCTACTGGACATTCGGACCCTGACACAACGGGACAATGAAAAGATACTGGCATTCTCATCTCTTATTCCTTCTTTGTAGCACTGCTCCCTATTCATAGTTGGGGTAAGGACATGCAACTGACCCAACTTAGGTTATATCCCTCAGTTGCCAGGAATAAGAAAAAGCATCAAGCTTTTTGGACTTCAGCTCACACAATTGTGTATTTCCCCCAAAAGAAGAGGGTGTTCTGATGCTAAGCAGCAAACAAACAGTCTATTCTATTACTGAACCTACAAATCTAGTAGTCTCTGAGCCCATGACCATTTCAGCAGATCCTTCACGTAATCAAGATGAAATATGTGTTAAATATAATGAGTCTGTATCAAGTATTTTTGATATTTGTTCCTCAAAAATTGTCAAAGCCATTTTATTAGACATTTTAACAAGACATTTAAAAATTCTATTGTTTATGTAGGTTAATCATTCTAAAGCAATAGACCTTGGATCTCATACATTTTATTAACATGTAGGAAAAACAAAATACATTATACCAATGGTGAGAACAGAAAATGTAACCATCTGCTCAGTGATGCTTCAGTTAAAACTCCCCTAGTTTTCCATGAAGATGCTCGATGTTCTGCAGGAAGAAACAAAACAAAACAAAAAACAACAACAAAAAACTCCCCTAATTTTAAAACCACAAAAAGAAAACAAACATAAAAACACTTTATAAAACAAAGTTATCTTCACAGTTATGTGATGAAATATTTTGATTCATAATTTTTATTGTCCAGATTGAAGATGTGAAGTTATTTTTCCCCTCATATCACTCCATAACCTTTTTTGTCCTTCAGATTTTCCAAGCCTTTTCCTTATCTGAAAACTTTGAAGAAAAAAACCTAACTAATTAGGGGAAATCTGATAATCTATCATTCACACGTATGAGGGGACTTCAAAAATTTCACGGAAAATGCCTATTAGGAAAAGCTATGTATGGATTTCAGAAATTTTGTTGCACCAAAATTAACTTGTACTAACTTGTTATAACATGTCTGAATAAGATCTAAGGTAAGGCAGTAGAAAGGATAAGAAATCAGTTTGAAAAGAGTCTCTTTATCAGAGAAACATGAATTTTACTAAAATTGAAGCAAGAATGAACACCAAATTTATTATGAAGTTTGGGTAGAAGAATGGTACAATCATTGATGCTTTACAAAAAGTTTAGCTTCAAAGAAATCAGCAGTTTTTATCAGGTGTGCCAAAAAAGTACCAATTTTAAGAGATGTTATCTATGTACTACTTTTAGTCTGTTGTAATCAGAAGTGTCTGGATGCTGATGGCAACCACTTTGAGCACTTGTATTTGAAGATAAACGTGACTTGTATTCATCTTTTGTTATTGGTATATATTGAGTATTACAATTTTAATACCGTTTTTCTTTTCTTTTCTTAAAATGTGTATACTTTTTTTGGCACCCTCTGTAGATAACTCCATCTTAGAAAAAGACTCCATCTTACATTTTAAATGTTGTCATGCCAACAAGGACCAGATGTTTTCCCTAATTAATACAGACTACCTCCAATCAGATAAGGATATAACCAAGCATGTTCTTCCACTGTCAGTCCTCACTCTATGGCCATAAAAAGAGCAGAACTTCACCAGCTCAAAATGGCCATCTTAACGGATGCTATCTTGCTGTCACATATGATAATCATCTGGCACCTGAAGCCTCTGCCAACATCAAAGACTCTTTCTTGCAAGATGTTGATATGCCACCTGGGCTAGGCCGGTACATTGTTTTTGTTAAGGTTGCTCTCCCTCAACTGGTTTCTTAGCCCTTTGTTCAGTCCATTTTTTCTTGATTGAAATTGTTACTTTGAAAAAGAGAAGAAAATGTTACTGTTGTGGAATGTTAATCTATTAACGTTTATACATTGATCAAGGATACTTTATGTATGGTTTGCAATACCCACTGACTTGTGGAATGGCTTCAGCCTGCTTGCCAGTGGTTCCAACAATCAAGTAAAAGGGACTAAGAAGAATTACCTCCTTGGAAAGTCCATGTACCTCATAGCTTTTATGACTGAAATATCATTAATAAAACTCTGACATGGCTGGGCATGGTGGCTCACACCTATAATCCCAGCACTTTGGGAGGCCAAGGGATTGCCTGAGTTCACAGGCTCGAGACTAGCTTGGGCAACTTGGTGAGACCTCATAGCTACCATAAATCAAAAAATTGCCAGGTGTGGTGGTACATGCCTATAGTTCCAACTACTTGGAAGGCTGAGGTGGAAGGATCACCTGAGCCCAGCAGGTTGAGGCTGCGGTGGCTATGAGCGTGCCACTGTACTCCAGCCTTGGTAACAGAGTGAGACTCCAACTCAACAACAAAAAAAGTCTGACATTGTGGAAAGACACAAATGTGTGTGGACCTGGTTATCTCTGACCTTGCACTGCTCATAATAACTCATTTTCAGAAGGGATGAGATAATGTTGAAGGTGAAGCCTGCAGTGGCAGACCATTCACAGCAATTCCTGAGGTGAAAATGTATCTTGTTTGTGCCCTAATTAAAGAGGAACAGCAATTAACAGCACAAACTATAGCCAACACCACAGACACCTCAATTGGTTCAGCTTACACAATTCTGACTGAGAAATCAAAGTTGAGCAAACTGTTCACTTGATGGGTGCCAAAATTGTTGTGCCCACATCAGCTGAGGACGAGAGTAGAGCTTTCAATGGGAATTTTAAACATGTGGGATCAAGATCACAAAGCTTTTTTGTTATTGAAGAATTGTAACAGGAATTGAAACATGGCATTGCCAGTAGAATCCTGAAGACAAAGCACAAGTAAAGCAATGACCACCAAGTGGTGGAAGTGGCCTAGTCAAAGCAAAAGTAGACTAGCAAAGAGCAAAGGTCATGGCAACTGTTTTGGGGATGCTCAAGGCATTTTGCTTGTTGATTTTCTGGAGGGTCAAAGAATTGTAACATCTGCTTATTATGAGAGTGCTTTGAGACAGTCAGCCAACATTTAGCAAAAAAAAAGTCCTGGAGCTTTATCAGAGACCTTCATAACCTTGCTTCTGCTCATTCCTCTTATCAAACAAGGGCAATTTTGAATCTTGATGGTAAATCATTAGACATCCACCTTACAGTCCTGATTTCACTTCTTCTGGTTTCTTGTTGTTTCCTAATCTTAACAAAAACTTTAAAGGACACCCATTTTTCTTTAGTTAATAATGTAAAAAAAGATTGTATTAACATGGCTAAATTTCTAGAACCTTCGAATTTTTAGGATGGACTAAATGACTATTATCATTTACAAAGTCTCTTGAATTTGATGGAGCTTATATTGAGAAATAAGGTTTACATTTTCCTTTTCTTTCTTTCTTTTTTGTTTTTTTGGAGTCCGGGTCTTACTCTGTAGCCCAGGCTGAAGTGCAGTGACACAATCAGGGTACACCACAGCTTTGACCTCCTGAGCTCAGGTGATCCTACCACCTAAGTCTCCTGAGTAGCTGGGACTACAGGCACACATCACAACACCCAGCTAATTTTTTAAATTTTGTTTGTAAAGACAAATATTTTCTATTTTCTTTTAATTCCATTTTTCCATGAACTTTTAGAAGTTCTCTCCTATTTTCTACCTGATTATGTAGACTAAAATTCATTTATATCACTGTAATTTGTACTTTTTAATCTAAAACCCTTTTATTATCTGTGTAGGTTTACTACAAACAATTTTAGTTGTCTGCATGTAGGTGGAGATACTAGACTGGGGTGGGGACAGTGAATCCTTAAAACTCCATCAAGCATCTCTAACTGAAACCCCTAAAAGAAAGTCTGAGAAAGTTGTCCGACATCAGAGTAATTTGCAAATGAAGAGCTACATGAACTGATAATCTCTCTTTCCTCCACACCTTGTTTTTTTGTTTTTGGGTCAGAGTTTCACTCTGTTGCCCAGGCTGGAATGCAGTGACTTGCTCATAGCCACCGCAGCCTCAACTTGCTGGGCTCACTTGACCTTCCAAGTAGCTAGAATCACAGGTCTGTGCCATCACATCTGGCTAGTTTTTCTTGATTTATTGTAGAGAAGAGATCTCACCAAGTCGCCCTGGCTGGTCTTGAATCACTGGGCTCAGGCAATCCTCTCACCTCAGTCTCCCAAAGTGTTGGGATTACAAACTTGGGCCACTGCAGCTGGTCCACACCTTGTTCTCTTTAGGAGACTGCTCACGTTGTAGCAGCCAGTCCCTGGCACTGAGGACGCTAGTACCCATCTCTTCCAGACTAGTTTGTCTATCTGGAGCCCAACCTACCTTACCACCAGTATGCCTGTTGATATAAGTACTTCCGGAACTCCATGCTGCTTTGTCTGTTTCCTAATTATTAATAGGACTTCTTTATTCTTCCTTCACTTAACTCAATCCCTGCCAGCCTCACTTCCCCTCTCCTCAACCCTCACAATTATTGTCTTTCTGGCATAGTTTTTGTTCAACCTCTAGATACATGTTGATCATCTACTGTGTCCAAGTAATTGTGACAAGAAGTACTGTATTAGCTTGTATGAAAGCTTTCTGGCATTTGGAAATATATTTAAAGATTATGTTTATTTTTAGTTTTATACTTTCTGATAAAAGAGCTGTTGGAACATAGCTATAGTTACTAGCTACTAATTCGGCACTTGCTACACTTACACTGTAAGTACAGACACACCACATTTACGGCACTCCATTTTATCATGCTTCACAGATTAAACTGAATGCAGTCTTTAAAAATGGATGCTGTTTGTAAGATTAGAAAAGACATTCAATTTGTATTTTTTAAAATAAATACAAATTTAATGAAAGGTTTATGGTGTCCAGCAAGTTTCCTGGCACCATTTTTTCCAAGAGTATGTGCTTGCTTTGTGCCTCTGCATCACATTCTGGTGATTCTCTCAATTTAAAATGTTCTCATTATAATTACATCTATAGTTAGTGATCTTTAATGTTACTATTATAATTGTAGAGGTGGTGAAAATATTAAGAGAACAGGAATGAGAAACGGGGCCTGAAGATGTGACTAGATAGCTGCAATCTCATAACAGCAATTGAACAGATGAGGAGTTGCTTCTTAAAGAAAATGGTTTCTTGAGACAATCTCCTCCTGGTAAGGATGTTGTGAACATGGTTGAAATATCAACAAAAGATCTGAAATAGTCTATAAATTTAGTAGATAAAGCAGCGGCAGGGTTAAAGAGGACTAACTCCAAATCTGGAAAAAGTCTACCGTGGAGAAATGCTGTTAAACAGCACTGCCTGCTATAGCAAAATCTTTCAGGAAAGAAAGATTAAACTGATGCGGCAAACTTCACTGTTCTCTTATTTTAAGAAATTATCACAGCAACCAGATCTTGATCAGTCAGCAGCCATCAACTTCAAGGCGAGACCCTACACCAGCAAAAGATTACAAATTGCCAAAGGCTCAGATGTTTGCTAGCATTTTTTAGCAATAAAGTATTTTAAAATCAATGTATATCCATTGTTTTCTTAGACATAATGTTATTGCACACTTAATAGACTACAGTATAGTGTAAGTACTTTTTAAATATGCACTGGGAAACCAAAAAATATGTGTGACTTGCTTTATTGTAAAATTTGATTTACTGTGGTGATCTAGAACCAAGCACACAATACCTCTAAGGTAAGCTGGTATGTATATACCTCTTAATTGTATCCACCATGGTGCCCTCCATACAGTAGGTACTAAAATAACCATGCTAATGAATGAATGCATAAGCATCTGATAAAAGTCAGAAATTATTTCCATTTCTTACATAAAAATAATATGAAGAATTAGAAAGGAAATAAACCAAATGAGCATTCTGAGTTTATTCCTTCCAGTAAACCTAAGCCATTATGTATATCCATGACAATTAGAATAGAAAAAGGACAAAGAACAAACAGAAGTAATTTCTGTTCCTTGTATAAAGTAGCACTTTGCTGGATATAGTAGTACTTTGCAGAAGCATTCATATGACATTTTTTTTTCTTGTAAGTTGGGGTCTCACTCTGTCGCCCAGACTGCAGTGCAGTGGCACGATCATGGCTCACCACAGCCTCAATCTCCTAGGCATAGACAATCCTCTTGCCTCAGCTTCCTGAGTAGCTAGGACTATAGGTGTGTGCCACTACACCTGGTTGACTTATTAAAAAAAATTTTTTTGTAGAGACGAGGTCTCACTGTTGTCCAGGCTGATGTCAAACTCCTAGGCTCAAACAATCTGCCCACCTTGGCCTCCCAAAGTCCTGGGATTACAGGCATGAGCCACATGTCCAAACCCATGCCTTCTTTTATGCTCAAATAGCCTTTTTTGTTCATTTAGACAAGTTGCCACACCTGATAACTTTGAACTTAACCTGTCATATAGGGATAAGAGTTCCATTTCAGAGAGATCTTATTAAAAGCAAGCACTTTAATATGGAGCACTTAGCAGTGTCTGGTATATACAGTAAGTTTTATAGTAAGTGTCATTATTACTAGTATTATTAGATACCACTTATCAAACAGTACAGCAATTATTTGTTTTGGTATGTCTTATCACTATACCACACACACATTAAGAAGCATGTCGGGGCCAGGTGCGGTGGCTCATGCCTGTAATCATGCACTTTGGAAGGCGGAGGCAAGAGGATTGCCTGAGCTCTGGGGTTCAAGACCAGCCTGGGCAACTTGGTGAGACCTTGTATCTATAATAAATCAAGAAAAATTAGTCAGGCATGGTGGCGCATGCCTGTAGTTCCAGCTACTTGGAAGGCTGACGCAGAAGGATCGCCTGAGTCCAGAAGGTCGAGGCTGCGGTAGTCATGAGCATGCCACCGCACTCTAGCCTGGGTGACAGACTGAGAATCTGACTCAAAAATAATAAAAATAAAAATAAAATAAATTAAAAATAGCATGTGTGTTAAAAGAAATTGAATTCAATGTGTACATACAATTTTCACTGTGATTTCTGTCTAGAGTCACTGAATGACTATTCCAAGTAAGATTCGACATTTTTACAAAATTGTTCTTCATCATTAAGATATTCCAAGATAACACTTCCACCATTATATAAAGAAGACTCCTTCTTAGCCATCCAGGTTTCCAAAGTGTGATCCAAGGGTAAGGCTTCTCCTGAAGTAATATGACACAACCTTAATTTCTGTGAAAGGAGAAATAAACCATACTGTAATAAATAAACATGCTTGCACAGAGTATCCTAAAACTTTGGGAGAAAAATTATAACTAGATGTTACCTTAGCTGTTAATTTGTTGTTGTCATTTTTAAGACTGGCTAGAGAGGCAGCAAAGTCTATGACCTTTCCAATGCTCCATCGGTGACAAAAGAACATTGGTTTGCTCTTCTCTTTGCTCCCCTTAGGTAAGAAAACCTGAAAATAAATTCTTTCTGTCTGTAAAAAGGAAAAGTTAAAATATAGATTATATATATGAAGACACAGTTGTTTTTGTCTGGTGACATTCCTTCCTCTCGTCTAGTCAGAGGGATTACTCTGTAACAATGCCTCTATTAGTGGGAATGCCACCTATAGTAGCCCAGCTTCCACCTAAATGCACAGACATATGAACAAGACCTTGGTCAGGGTGATCTGTGAAGGCAGGCATGTGGCTTACGTTAAGCCAATCAGAGTGTTGTCCTGGTATTTTATGTTCAAATGTTAAGAAGAGGAGGAACACTCTTTTTCTCTGAATATTTAAGTCTTTCTGAAATAAACCTGGGATTTCTTATAGTGAACCCCCTCTCCCCACAGCCATTCCTGAACCATGGTGGAAAAAGTCTCCTCAAATGAGAGTGAGACCAATTTAGAGAAAGAGAAAATGCAAAAATTGATGGATTCTTTCAACATAATAGGTCCCTGAATTTGGTCATCTCCTAAGATCAAATTAATCCATCATTTCCTGGTATGAGGGGGAACCTCCCCAAACCAAAATTCTTTGTAGCCAGAGGTTTCCCCTGCTAGGTAAGGGTTCTAGAACTCATCAGCATCAGTGTACCAGCTAGCGATGTTGTGAGAGGCTGCATTCGGCTTCAGTGACATTTTTTTGGCGTTTCTTTCAACAAATTTGCCCATTCTATGATGGGTGATTTATGAGTACACCTGCCCACACCACACTAAATGTTCAGTTTTTGACCCAAAACAGCATGAGCCCCATGCCCCCACCCATCCTATACACCCGATCACACCCCAAGCAACATTTTTTGTCTCCCCAGATGAAAACAGTCCTCAAAGGGAAATGTTTTACTGATGTGGAAGAGGTGAAACAAAAACTGGCAGAGCATTACAAAATCGACATGTTCAAAAACTGTTTAGAGCAGTGTAAAAAGTATCTTGATAGATGTATTGCATCAGACAGTACTCTGAAGGTGACTGAGGTTTAAACATGTTAGAAAAACCCACAATTTTTCATGAATAAATTCTGTGTTTTTTTGGGGTCCCCCCCGTGTATACGGGGAAAGTTTGTTTTGATTGTGCTATTGGAATTGAGTTTCTGTCAACTGCAACTGGATGATTCCTAACACACACAGCATTTCTTTTTTTTAATCTTTTTTTTTTTTTAGTTGGAGTCTCACTCTGTCGCCCAGACTGGAGTGCAGTGGCTGCTCCTAGCCACCGCAGCCTCGACCTGCTGGGCTCCGGTGATCCTTCCGCCTCAGCCTTCCAAGTAGCTGGAACTACAGGTGTGTGCTACCACATCCGGCTAATTTTTTGATTTATTGTAGAGATGAGGTCTCGCCAAATTGCCCAGGTGGGTCTCAAATCCACGGACTCAGGCAATTCACTCACCTCGGCCTCTCAAAGCGCAGGATTACAGGCTGAGCCACCAAGTCCAGCAGCATTTCTTTTTTGTGAAAAACCTCACTAAGTATTTAGACAGAAGGACTTAACAAGTATAGGAAAGAAAGAAGAGGAGCAAAAGTGCTTGGCCTTTGATCTTCCCTAATTGCTAAAATCTTTTTCAATAAAAAATGCTAGCTTTGCAGATCAATTCCTGCTACAACAAAAATTTTTGCATAACTTGAGCATCTCTTAACTTGTGGAGGAAAGATCACAATTATTATAAGAAATAATAGATTCAACACAATTTCCATCTAAGCACTAAGGAATTTAGATTTGTTAAAGACCAGTGGAGTGTGTTATTACAGAAAACAAGCATTAAAAGAAAAAATAAGAAATAATTAGAAATTCAAGCTTTGAGCCAACTCTGTAATAAAATAGTCCCTGCTCTAAAAACAAAGTAGCAAGAACATAAATACGAAAAGAGAAAATTAAACAGAGCCTCATATGAAAAAAAAAAGAGATAAAAATGTTCGAGGATCATAACTGAAACAGAATTGCAAAGTGATGGGTAGGCAAAGTCACAGGTTTTCAGGGCTCCCAAGAGGAAGAGGTAAACAGGAGTTCAGCTTGAGGGTAAGTGGAAAACAACAGTACCACATGGAGACAAAGATACAGCTCCTGGCTCAGGTTATTGCCTGGAAGCAGAGGTCAGCCCCAGGATTCGAGGCTAAAGAAGTTATTGCTGAATGCTGACTTAGACTATTGTATATCTAAATCAATATTTAGGGAGACAGAAAAGCATAGTTATAACTTCCTGACAGGGAACAAAACTAAGGTCATCCACCTCAGTAAATGTGTAATAATCTGAAAATTTCCACAGAACATAAGCACAAACTGCCAATCTCAAACTTGGATCTGGAATGGTAGTCCCGGGAGGCTGGGTGAGAGTGAAGAAAATGCAACATCGCAAGACAGAGATCAGGGAGTGAGGGCAGGGAGAGATCCAGGAAGAACCTCCTACTCAAGATGAAGATGTACAGTCAGTAAGTTGAAATTTCAAAACAAATTGAAGAGTAACTCTCTATGGGCAAATGAAAACAGCTTTTAAAAAGGCATTAAATTATTTAGGATGCACAATGAGATGAAATAAAACATGATATTCAAGAAAAGGAATAAGAAGTTATAAAACCAAAATAGGCAGAAATAAAACACAAAGGAAGAAGATCCAATTAGAAATATAAAAATGTGAAAATACAGTTTTTAGAATAGGAAACTCAAATAGGATAAATTTCTATATTCCTCATTAAAAAGACAATATATTAGAAGATGAATTTTAGGAAGTCATCTACAATGCAGCACAGAGACACAAAGTTAGAAAAAAATATAGATCCCCAAAATACATCAAAAAGAGTCTCAGAAGAGAATGGTGAAGAAACAATATTCAACAAAATGACCACAATTTTCCAAAAAGTCAAAATTTTAAATGTGCCTTCAGTGTCACAATGGATAATTAAAATAAATTCACCTTAGAAACATTGCACTGAAACTGGAAAGTACCATAAATAAGTCTTAAAAGCTACCAAAAAAAAGACAGACTACTCATTAAGAAACAAGAATAAGACTGACAACAGATGTATCTACAACAATAAATGACAGAGTATGTGGAAAGTCTAACAGACAACCCAGCTAAAAGTGAGGTAAAAATAAGGGCACATTCAAACTAAAAAAGACTGATAGAGTTTACCACCAAAGGCCCTTACTGAGTGAACTGCTAGAGTGTATTTTAACAAAAAAAAAGTGAGCCTTAAGGAAGGAGAAACTTAAAAAAAAAAAAAAGGTATTAGCAAATTTAAATAGCTTTCTGAATATGTAAAATTAATTTTTATGTGTTAACAAAAATGATGGGATAGGAGATATTCAACTGGATATGGCATGTCAAGCTCTTTGTATTCAGGAGGATATAACCACAAGTAACTTTATTTTATTTTTTATTTTTTTGAGTTAAGGTCTCACTGTGTTTCCCAGGTTGGACTGCAATGTCATGATCATGGCTCACTGCAGCCTTGACCTCCTGGGCTCAGGCGATCCTTCCCCCTCAGCCTGCCAAGTAGCTAGGACTACAGATGTGTGCCACCATGCTTGGCTAAGTTTTTAAGTCTTTGTGGAAATGAGTTATTGCTATGTTGCCTAGGCTGATCTCAAACTCCTGGGCTCAAGCAATCCTCCTGCCTCAGCCTCCCCAAGTATTATAAGTATGAGCCACCATGCATGGTCACAAAGTAACTTTATTCTTTGAGAAAATAATATTTAATTATATATGTTAAAAATGTAAGCAATGCTTGTTTTCATCATTATTATAAGATATTATATTGGAGATTATAGACAACGTAGAACCAAACATGAAATAACTGGTATAATTACCAAAAAAAGAGAAAAATTAAAGCTATTCATATCGTTAATGAGGTGTGACATAACTAGGAAATTGAAAACATTCATAGAAAAAAACTAAAATTAATACAAGAGTTTGGTAACATAGCTTAATAAGCTGAGTATACAGAGCTCAAGACTTGTTTTTTTTCTTTATTAGCACTAAGTCCTTGGAAGGATAATTGGGGCATGTTCCATGTTCACCATGGAAACAAAAACCATACAATAATTACCAATAAAAATAAGAAATACGATTTAAAATAAGAAAAATATAAAATGTTACAGAAGGCAATGAACCATCTGAATAAAAGTATGTATAAGACTTGTATAGAAAGAAAATGTCATAAAAATGTCATTTCTCCCTAAATTTTATGTATATCTTTTCTTCCCATGTATACCTTATAATGCAAATTCAATGTGGATTCTTCAGAATATAAAATGCAAAATATTGGCTGGGCACAACAGCTCATGCCTGTAATCCCAGCACTTTGGGAGGTGGGGACGAAAGGATTGCCTAAGCCCAAGGGTTTGAGATCAGCCTGGGCAACTTGGTGAGACCTTATCTCTACAATAAATCACAGGCATGTGCCACCACACCCAGCTAATTTTTTAATTTAGAGACGAGGCCTCACCAAGTTGCCCAGGCTGGACTCAAACCTCTGGACTCAGGCAATCCTCTCACCTTGGCCTCAGAGTGCTGGGATTACAGGCTTCAGACACTGCACCCGGCCCAGATGCAGCTTTAAAGAGAATGACTTTGAGTCATGCCAACTCACTTGAGGGAATTTCTACTAGGCATTAATTACACAAGGAACTATAGAGAGAAGAATATCTAATTTTCTCAAAACCTGCTTTATTTTTATTTATAGCCCTAATCACTATATGACATTATATCTTTAATATTTGTCTCATCCTAATGAAATATAAACTTTTTACAGGAGAGACTCTGTTTCATTCACTGCTATAATCGCAGAGCCTGGTGTACAGAAAGTATTTTTAAAAAGTGTGTTGACTAAATGAATGCAGACATTATTATAAAATAATGACAGAAATATTCTTTATGACTTTGCATACATATACAAGTAGAATACATTTCCATTTATGTAAAATTAGACACCCCTATATACACACACACATATATACACTGATACATACATATAGACATGTGCATGCATATATATATATGAATATGTGAGCATGTGTACATGTTTGTATATATATATGTCTATGTGTATATATATACACATAAACACAGACACACATATCTCTATATCTATACACACACATTCATGATAAGAGGAAAAACTTTTTTCTATAAGCTTGTGTAGAGAAAGGAGAGAGGAGAGAGGAGAGAGGGAGAGGGGGGAGGGGAGGGGAGGAGAGGGAAGAGAGAGAGATTTTAGAGATTTTAGAGATAGGGTCTGGCTTTGCTCTAACTCCTGGGCTCAAGCAATCCTCCTGCCTCAGCCTCCTGAGTAGCTGGGATTACAGGTGTGTGCCACCACATCTGGCTAATTTTTTTTGTAAAGACAAGGTCTTGCTATGTTGCTTAGGCTGGTCTCGAACTCCTGGGCTCAGCAATCCTCCCACCTCTGCCTACCAAAGTGCTGGGATTATAGGCGTGAGCCACTGTGGCCAGCTGTTTTATTTTTTTAAATAGTTACATTTGCTAAAAGCATGTACTATCCTTGCAATTTAAAAAAAATCAAATAAATTTCAAAACAGGAAAATATTACGGATAATCATTAAAATAAGAAAACTACAATCAATGACTTCTAAACCAGCAAAATAAATTCAATCAATATAAAAGATGATGGGAAAGAGAAAGAAATATTCAAAGAAAAAGGATGATGAGCAGAAAATATATGATGGAAAAAGTATGTACAACTATGACAATGATCACAATAAATAAAAAAGGATTCAACTCACCTATAAAAGAGAGATACTATCAAACTGGATTAAAAAAACAAAGTCCAGCTATATGCTGCTTACAAAGAGATACCCTAAAACAAAATAACACAGAAAAGTTGAATATAAAGAGATAAATAAAAGACATATTGTTAAATATTCACCAAAAGCAAGCTAGTGAAACAAAATTGTAACTGAAAATAAGATTAAAGGCAAAATTCATAAAGAACTTGTAACTATGAAGAAATTTTATGTACCTGGTAATACACAACTTAGCAAAACCATTAGAATTACAAGAAAAAGACTAATAAAACCACACCCATAACAGGAGATTTTAACACGTCTGAGACACTGATAGATCAAGCAGCACAACAATTAGTAAGTACACATACGCAAAACATATACACATACACATGTGCATACAGATGAACAGAGAAAGAGACAGAAATGATAAAGCAAACAGGGAACATGTAAATAACTTGAATTTGAGTAAAGGCTACAGAAAAGTTATTTGTACTATGCAACCTATGTTTGAAATTGAATCAACAAAAAGTCACTAAATGATCACATTCAAACAAGCATATTACAAATAAGTTATCATTCTATGTGTGAAGTTGGAAAAAGAACTTCAGAGAAAATCTAAACAAAACAGAAAAAAGAAAATAATGTAAAAGCCGGAATTAGTGAAACAGAAAACAATGAAACTATTGGTCAATAAAACCAAAACATATTTCTTTGAAAAGACCAAGAAAGTAATAAAGACAAACCTCTAGCTGTTCTGTTTAGGGGGAAGAAAGAAAAGTACAGATATTAAAAATATTAAGAATGGAGTGGAATGACTAAAGACACGAGATTTTGGATCAAACAGAATAACTTACACAATTTTATAACGATAAACTGAAGAATCTAGATAAAATACATAAAATAGTACTTTTTTTAGAAAAGTATTTACCAAAATTGACTTCAGAAGAAATAGATTATCCAGATAAACCGAGATTTAACACATTGGAATAACATTCAAAATTCTCCCCTCAAAAAAGAAAGCATAAGCAAAGATTATAACTGAGCGCCACCAAACTTTCCAATAACCCCCACCCTCTACAACTACCTAAAATAATAAAAGAAGGAAAGATACAACTAATTTTATAGTATAATCTTGCTACTGATGTTACTAAAAACAATAAATAATATATTAGCAAATCAATTTCATGGTACATTTTAAAGAATTATATACCAGAGTCAAGTGGTTTATCCTGGAGTATTTGATGATTTTCCAACAGAAAAATTGATCAATATAATTTATTACCATGATAAAAAAACAAAATGATCATCTTATAGTTATAAGAAAAAAACTTACAATAAAGTTTAATACCCACTCAAGATGTAAATTCCTAGCAAACTAGTAATAGAAATAGTTAGCCTGATACAGGCTACTATCAAAAATCTACAGCAAACATAATACTTGAAGAAACTTTAGAAGCCCTTGCATTAAAGTCAGAAACATAATGAAGATTCCTGCTGTCACTGATATTTAACATTGTTCTGAAGATCTCAGCATTAAGACAGATAATGAAAAGAAGAACTAAGAGAAAAGAAAAATTGGAGGGAGTAAACTCCACAAAAACTGGTATTTGCAGAAGATATGATTGCACACAAAATCTACAAAGTATGGGAACTATTAGGAATTTATTTGCTGGATAGAAGGGTAATGTATATCAATCAGCAATAACCAGTTAGGAAGTGTAATTTTTAAAAAAGGTATAATTTTATGCTGATAGAAAAAAATTATATAGAGCCTAGGAATAAACCTAAGAAAAGGTATGTAAATATTTATAGTAAATATTATAGAATGTTACTTCTCTAATTACATGAAAAAGAACAAATAAAGAAAAGCTGGAAAGAAAAACCATAGGCATAGATGGGAAAAGTAAAAATTCAAAAGATGTCAATTGCCTCTAATCTAAAATTCAGCAAAATTCCTATCAAAATTATAATTTCACAGAAGAGAACAAAGTGATCCTAAAATTTTTACAAAAATAATATGGCCAAGAATAGGCATGGTTGCAAGTGCTATTGGAGACAAATCAATACAATCACAGACAAGAGGAAGTTGACGGATCTCTGATAAAGTTGAAAATGAGCAAATCCCATAACTCAGCTGTTCTATTTCCCCTAAAGTAGCATTTTTTAATTTGGTAGTCTCTAATCCATCAGGGGTTGGAAAATCAACCTTCCAGGTTTTGACCAACAATCTTTAAAATAAATACAATAGAATTTTTAAAAAAAAATTCAGAGTATATAGCACATATTGAGGCTAAGTACCATTTAATGAAACTGTGTTAAGGTATGTATGTACCTACATATTAGATTGGTATACAAAATAATTGATATTGTGAAGTCCTAGAGAAACTCTTCTATATATACACAAGGATGTTCACTATAGAACAGTTTATAATAGCAAAAAATTGGAAAAATCTGAACTTTGTTTATTAAGAGAACAGATAAACTGGAATATATTGGGGCAGCTATTGACATGAATGAACTTAGGAATACCCTAAACAGAGGAAGGAGGAAGGGCAGTAAGGGTTAAAAAACTACCTCCAGGTACCATGTCCAACACCTGAGTAACAGGCTCAATAGAAGCCCAAACCTCACTATCACAAAATATACCTGTGTAACAAACATACACATGTACCCTTTGATTGTAAAACAAACAAAAAACTATACTAAATGTTTCGGTTAAGATAAATGTTTAAAAACAGGATGCCAAGTGAGGGAGAAAAAAAAGCAAGTTGAAGAAGGCTACACATGGAGAAGGATACATATGTACTGCCATTTCTGTAATGTGAAAACACTCACAAAACTATATATTATGTATACAGCTATCTACCATGTGATATTAGGAATGATACATATCAGCTTCTGGTTAGTTGTTACTTGCTGGAAGGTAGGAATAAAAAGAGGACTTCAACCACACTTGGAATTTTTTGTCTTTAAAAATCTCTAAGACCAACCTGTGGCAATGACTTATCCCCATCAGCATGCATCTTTAATTTCATCAGTGTAACCTTTGCAGCTGTTTCAGTATTTTTTGCACCTTTCCGTCGTTTACTTGTTGTTTGTCCTGTCTTGGAATCTAAGAAGTGTAAGCATGTAAGCATATAAGAACTTTTACATTACAGAGTTTGATTATAAAGCATTTATTATAGCCCTGAAACATATACAAATTATGTACAATAGAAATATATAAGGACCACATTCTCTGTATAGGTATGTTATTTATCTGACCAATAGAAAAATATTGTTGCAGTTGATCTAAGCAATCTCCATCTCAAAAAATTTAGTTATGTGCTTCTTTCCAATTTAAACCTATTTAATCTAAAGCAGCCACTAATGCTTCTCAGAGAACCTTAAGATTTGATTATGAAAGATTTTAATAAAGATCCTATCCTTAATAGAGAATTAAAATTCTAAACATATTGGCAGAGATTGATTTAAGTTACAGATACATTCTTTCCTGGTATCCCATATTATCACCAGTATTCACAGGACAGCTGGCTAGGTTTTGAATTTAGTCTTTAGAGAAAGTAATTTACTCCTTCAACCTCATAAATACAATTTCTGGCCATGATACTTAACTAGCTGATACAAGTGGCCTAGCAAAAGAAAAAAGTACCCCTGGTGAGGTACTACCACACTGGTCAGGTAAACCTTGTAAGAAATACCATTATAAGAATGTCATCAATATGCAAGTTATTACCATTGAAACTTAACGATGCCTTCCATAACTGGTGAGCAGGCATAAGAAGCAAGAGCTCTGGAACAAACAGAATACAGAGATAAGAAAAGCAACAAAACAAGCTTTCTAGATGCTTACCAATAATATCTTTAACAAGTTTCTGAGTGGCAGCCATACGAGGCCTTGGAATTTCCAGTTTTTTACATTCATGATTTGACTGATGGCGGTGTCTATGAGCAACAGAAGAGTGACACTACTTCATTTATTTTTACACAATTTAAATAGATACACAAAGCTTGAATAGTCTAAGTGATCACCTCAGGCAAAAATTCTTCTCACAATAAGGACATATAACTGCCACAAGTTCTCTTTCAGCACAGTCCTTGAATGAGCATGGGTAAGACTTATGTTTATCTGTCTTCAATTTCTCATTGATTACAGTCACCTGAAAATGCAAAAAGGAAGAAGTGGCATTATATTTCACATTTAAAGCAAATCACCAAATTCATTTTAGAAGGCAGCATTCATATTATTTTTCCCTAAACTTATCAGAGCAAGTTACATACTCTTACATAAAGATTACAATCAATGTTTGTGTAAGAAATGATTACTGGCTATGTGTGGTGGTTTACACCTATAATCCCAGCACTTTGGGAGGCTGAGTTGGGAGTATGGTTTGAGTTTAGGAGTTTGAGACCTAAGCAACGTAGTAAGACCCCATCTCTAATTTAAAAATAAATAAAAAACTTTAAAAAAAATGAATCCTGTGCTGACTGTTCTACATATTCATCATTTTCCTACTGTGATATTTTTGTCTTCTAACTCAAGTTAAAATAACTCTTCAGTTACTGTCTATAATTTTAATCTTCTACTTTATAATAGTTCAACACAAAGATACCCCCATAATATGCTCAGGCAATCATCTCTTCAACCCTCAAATGGCAAGTCATACCTACTTTCTACTCTGATTTTAAGGGATTAAAGGCTTAACTCAGAATAAAACACTTAAAATTAGATATTTATCAATGAGATAAAGGGTTAAGGACAATTTTCATAATCATATATTATTCTCTATGCTCTATTTCATATTTTATTACCAGCAAATATTCCTTCATAGGAAAAGAAGATTCTGTAAGATTAAAAAAAAAAAATTCTGATTAGCCAGCTCTTCTGAGCATTAAGTAACTAGGCTCCTAGAGTTAAGTAAACTTAGAAAAATAATTGCTTAAAAACAACTGGCCGGGTACAGTGGCTCATGCCTATAAGCCCAGCACTTTGGGAGGTTGAGAAGGGAGGAGGATTAGTTGAGCCCAGGAGTTCTAGACCATCCTGGAGAACATAGCAAGACCTCATCTCTACAAAAAAATTTAAACAATTAGCCAGGTGTGGTGGCACACACCTTTAGCCCCAGATACTTGAGTGGCTGAGGCAAGGAGGATCAACAGAGCCTGGGAAGGCGAGGCTGCAGTGAGTTGTGATCATGCCACTGCACTTTAGCCTGGGCAAGAGTGAAACTCTGACCAAAAACCAAACAAAAACAAAAACAACCAAAGGGAATTCTTGTATATAAATGACAGTTACATCTTGCTAAAATTAACCTAAGCATCTTTTTAAATTTGTTGCATGGTCTACTGGTATTTCAGCATTGAATTAATTAGATGTAAGAATCTGCGGGACATTCACAGAAATCAAGTGATATTTTAAGAAAAAAGAAAGCACAGAACAGATTTATAAACTGTATTAAGAAACATCAGTAAGTTTTATACTATATGCCTATTCTCTTCCAATAATCCCGCATAGATCACCCACACTTCAAAGGATAAGATTTTGACTGATTATTTAAACTTGAAAGGGTCAGATTCCAACTGAAGCTCATGTAATCTTAATTTTCTATATTTGAGAACAGAACAGATGTGAAAATCCTTAGTAAAGCACTTGATAAATAGTGTGCAGGAATAAATGTTCACTGAAAAGTGTTAGAAGCACATTAGGCATGGTAAACTCAGCTTTCTCTTTTTTCTCCTGGAATTGAACTGCCTTCGGGAAGAAGTCTAACCTTGTCCAGTACTGCTGTGGCTAGTGGGCAAGTCTGCCTAATTCTGGATTTCCTTTACAGACCCATTTGGCTCTATAGATACACAAGCTTCATCATTCAATTTATCTTTATCAGTAATAAGGGTGATATTGGCTACTATTTGTCAGGTCTTTCTTCATCTACGATTTATTCAGAATTAAGGTGGGGATTTTGTTAGATTACAGGTTTGTTCCTGGTGGTCTAAGGCTGACTGAACTAGGATGATTTACTATCATAGATCCTATCACCAGGCACCAGTGAAAATGAATGTAACAGTGAAGGGACTATATGATGAAGATATCAATTCCAATGCATATTTATAAATATATATATATTTATATATGTATATAAAACCTTATGCTGTAAGCAGGTTACCTAAACAGAAATGTTAGGAAAATAGGAATCATGAGGATATGGTCAGATGTGGTAGCTTATACCTATAATCCCAGCACTTTGGGAGGTCAAGATGGGAGGACTGCTTGAGCCCAGCAGTTCAAGACCAGCGTAGGCATAGTGAGACCTAGTCTCTCTAAAAAAAAAAAAAATACCGGGTATTGTAGCACCTGCCTATAGTCTCAGTCACTTGGTCCAGAAAGTCGAAGCTGCAGTGTGCTAAGATCATGCCACCGTACTTCAGCCCGGGCAACAGAGTGAGACTCCAACTCTAAATAAATAAATAAATAAATAAATACAATTATGAGGATATATATATATATATATATAAAAATTATATATACATATAATTTTTGTGCGTGTGTGTCAGACAGGGTCTAACTCTTTCACCCAGGCTGGAGGGCAGTGCCATGCTCATGGCTCACAATAGCCTTGACCTCCTAGGCTCAGGTGATCCTTCTGTCTTAGCCTCCTGAGTAGCTGGGATTACAGGCACGAACCACTATATCTGGCTCTTTTTTTTAAGTTTTAAGTAGTGACAAGGTCTCACTATGCTGCCCAGGCTGGTCTCAAACTCCTGGGCTCAAATGATTCAACCTCCTTGACTTCCCACGGTGGTGGGCTTACAGACATGAGCCACCATGCCCAGCCTGAGGATAAAAATTTATAAATACTAAGTAGACCAATTTTCTTTAAGACAAAAAATAATAATAATATAAACGAAGAAAGAGTTATTTACCTAATCAGTTACATATGCCAAACTTTAATCTCTGGTTCAGCTTTAAATCGAATCAAATTTTGAATGGAAGTACATATACACAAATGTTTTATTGGAATAGAAAAATATCAACATACCTCAGGACAACCATGAGACTCCCTGCTTCTGTGTTCAAGGCTTAAATAATAATAATAATAATACTTTAAAAGGCAAGGCATGTATTTAAATATAATCAAATAACAGAGATAACTACAGTGATTTTAGATATTTTAATATTTAGTAATCTTAAGAAACATTACACTCATACTACATTAATAACTTTGCATTTAAGAAAAACCTAAAATGCCAGATAAATTAAAGATGGATCACCTCTAGTCTCAAAAATTTTAAAACATAAATGTTCGACTTCAATGAGTAAAAACAATTTATCATTCTAAATTACATTTATTTTGAGTGCTTTAGGGTGCATAAAAATACAAATCTTTAATTTTTTATTTATAAAAGACCACCAGTAGTAAAATGTGAAAAGAGTGCTCTAATTCTGAGTAATTAAAAAATATGCATAACTTTTATTTACTTCTAACAGATCTATCTGAATTAAATTCTGAAAAAAATTTGTTCTTTCAGTGCCTTAGTTAATAAATCGAATGCTTGATATTTTAAAGTTTAATTGTAAGGAAAATATGTTTTCCAAAATTATTGGTTAATTTCCAGGTTTAGTTGGGCATGAAGGCTCACACCTGTAAGCCCAGCACTTTGGAAGGCTGAGGCAAGAGCCCAGGAGTTTGAGACTAGTCTGGACAACGTAGTAAAACCTCATCTCTACAAAAATAAAAAAAAAGTAGCCAGGTGTGGTGGCATGTACCTGTAGTCCCAGGTATTCGGGAGGCTGAGGCAGAAGATTGCCTGAGCCCAGAAGGTTAAGGCTATGGTAAGCTGTGACTATGCCACTACACTCCAGTCTGGGAGACAGGGTAAGATTGCAACTCAAACAAAACAAAACAAAAAACAACAACAATAAAAACAGGTTTTATTTTGCATGTGACATGTTTAAATGACATGTGATATCCATTTTAAGGCATTTATAGGTTTAGCTTTTTTCATTTTTATTCATTAAAATAAAGAGTAATAGTCATAACTGGATTTTACCATATTCTTTATATTGTGTATATTATTTTATCTTTGTTAAAAACACAAATATAACTTTTATATAAAACTCTTCCCATTTCTGGAAGTTTACAGATTAAGTTACATATATGAATAAGCAATCAAAGCTTATGACTAGTCTGGTTTTTTTCCCCAAGTGATTACTATACTGAGTATCAATAATCAATGGCTAAAGTAAAAACTTTTAAATCATTCTAGTTTTCAGAAATAAACCCCATATTATAAACACTAAAATTATTCCCAAATCCTACATATAAATTTAACTTACCAAAATACTCCTGAACATCCATCACATACAAATGGAAGAAAATCTAAAATTGAGAAAAAATGTTGTATGTACTGGTCAGCATCTGGTTTTTATTTAGTTTTCTTAAGCAAAAGGAATCTGAAAGTACTAGACCAACTCTATAGAAAAACTTCCCTTTTTGACTGATATACTAGTGTAGCAAGTCACTATTTAACTACTTTAACAAAAGTCATCACAATCTCGACAACTCTGAAAGAAAATAACTGGATTAATACAAGATAAATGTTACTGGTAACTGCTAAATCAGAAAAAAAGAAGCTCTGGTGGGTTCTTTCTTTTTTGTTTTGTTTCCCAGATCTACTAGGCGTTGTTTTTTTGATGACTGTATACTGTTAAAATTCTGCATTTGGAACAAAAAACCTGGGTTTCAATTCTGAATCCACTGCTTAGTAATCTAACTATGCTAGGCAAGTTACTTAATAGTAAAGCTTTGTATATTTATATTTGGTATACTGTATAGTACATAGTGTATGTATGTTTGTCTATATACATGTATGTAAAATGTATACACAAAATAAAAGCTCTGTTATTGGGTAATAAAAATAGGAAGGTATAGACAGACAAAGAGACAAATAAGTACAGATATAAGCATAGTTTCTGTGTATATCTGTATGTGTGTGTGTATACATGTGTGAATATATCTCTATTTATACTGTATGCCACATCTACCTCACAGGGTAATTATAAAAACCAAATGAAATATACGTAAAAGATCACAATAGTACTATAGTAACTATAATTAATAAGAATAACAAAATAGTTCACTTATTTTGCATATGCTCAACTCAGAAAAATATTATAGTGGAGATGTTTTCAAAGAGATTCTAGAAATTCAATAAATGGATTGACTGACACTTGAAAACTAATTGCTGAATTGTTTCTGTCTTTGCTATTGATGAACACCTAAATTAGAACAAGGTAACTAAGTAACACATAAGTTACTAACTGAATTTTAGGAAAGTACATGAAAGTATTCTCAGATGTGGCAACTTACTGTTAACCACTAGATACACTCAATCACTCTCTAGGTTATTTTCAATATACTTCATATTAAATAATAGTATGCAGCCAGGTGAAGCTGGCTATATCCAATCATGCCATTTTGATAAAGTGAAAAGCAGAAAGTTTTGCACAGTCTGAGTTTAGAAAATGCTACAATTGTCTCAAAAAGATCTTATCCCACAGGTGACTTAACCACAAAATAGAAGAGGTCCTACTGCAACCCAAAGGGACCCTGGATAATTATACTTGTGGAACAAGAAATCCAAATAGTTCCTCCCACACCTGGGAAGTGGTCTTGTCCCTTGCTGTTGTTAGGAAAACATGATACTGTGAGCTTTTATTTCACACTGAGAAACTATGGATACATTTGTCAACAAAAGAAACTGAAGCACCTATTGTGCACAATTTTTATGTCTTTGTCACTATAGAACAATTGTACATGCTTGCTATTTTGAGACTTTTGGTAACCAACTAACATTAGATGCGAACCAGAAGGACTCAGGGGAAGAGTTATCAAGTTAATGTCCTGGCATCTGATACTATCATTCTATCCATTCAGAAGCTAAATGAAATTCAGGAACCTACTTAACATATTCTTAACCCCTTACCACTAGTTCAAAGGAGATAGGCACTGGTCTCATCTTAGTTATTGACACTAAAGATACAAGAAGTTGGAAAGGAAAATGAGCTATGTCACAGATGTTGTACGATGTGTGTTGGACTCACTAGGGGGCATCAGGCACACGAGATATACAACTCACAGTCAAAACCTAAAAGGCTGTTTCCATATGAAAGGATTCTAATGAAAAGGTTATTATTTGCTGAGTGGCTGGTGATTACAATCAATGGTGCAAGCTACATTAGTATAGAGTGTTGTAAGTAGCAGGAACCTAGCAAACTGTGTCACCTGTCCTATTGCCCAGGCCCACAGCAGACACCACTAATCAATGATGGCACACTACTGAAACTGGGCTAAACTTCAGGGTCCTCCTCAGCACAGTTATTGAGACACTTGCTACCAATAACTGAAGCTGCACTGGGAGATGAAACCTGTTTGCCATCTCATGTAGTATGTGCCAAGTGTGATGGTATACATTTGATATAAAATCCAGGTACCGGCCGGGCTCGGTGGCTCAGCCTGTAATCCCGCGCCTTTGGGAGGCTGAGGTGAGTGGATTGCCTGAACCCGCGGGTTTGAGACCCGCCTGGGCAGCGAGACCTCATCTCTACAATAAATCAAAAAATCAGTTGGGCGTGGTAGCTCGCGCCTGTAGTTCTGGCTATTGGGAAGGCTGAGGCGGAAGGATCGCCAGAGCCCAGCAGGTCGAGGCCGCGGTGGCCGGGAGCGGTCACTGCACTCCAGTCTGGGCGACAGAGTGAGACTCCAACTCAAAAAAAAAAAAAAAATCCAGGTACCAAACACTGAGCAGTCTGTGGGGCTCTAATGCTTCAAAAAATTGCCTACTCCAGGTGTATGACATTCTGAAGCCTGTGTCCCATAACCATGAGCTATGTGAATTCCAAGGTTTGTCAGTTCAACAGAGAGAGACCACCACAGTAATATTCATGCTAAAATGCAGCTTACTAGTCTGAAAGGTCTTCTGCGTAAAAGATCGTAGTTTATACATACCCTTATTTGGTCCCAGCACCAAAATCAATGATTTGTAAATGTTTGTTCAATGATAATAAGAATAAAGGAATGACCGAACTGGGAGAGCATAACGACCATCCGGTGGAATAGTTTTGAGGATCCGAGATCTCTAAGAATCTGATAAAAGCTAAGGAAGAGGCTTCTTTATTGAGGAGTCCGTGAGCACCAGGTTAAAAACAGACCTTGCTGAACTCCTTCCTCCGACAGCTAAGTAAACACAAAGTTTGGCTTGCCCAAGGTTGCAGTGGCGAGACCAGAAGGGAACAACTCTCCCAGACCCTCGTCCTCGCTCCCCTCTCTCAGCAGAAAGACGTGTTCCTAGGCCACCCAGTAGGGTGCCCCGAGAACTTCTAGGCCGCGGCGCAGTCGAAAGCCAAACACTGCCAGGTACGTTTTCAGGAACCGCACGGTTCCTTCTAAGGAGACCACAAGTCTCTTCCAAGACTCAGAGGCAACCCAAAGAGGCACCAACAGATCTTACTGTTAGCGTTTAGAAGAAACGCTCCCGTCCTCAGACCCTGTTCGGCCCTACTGCCTCCCCTCACCCGCCGCCACCATCTGTGGAGCCAAAGCGGGGCCCGGGTGTCCTGCAGTCGGGGATGGGGACTCCCGCATCACCTCGCTGGCGGCAGTGTTCCACTTGGCAGTGCCGTCCGATGTCCAGTTCCGCCATCTCTCTAGCTCGCAAGGGGCGGGGCACACCGTGAGGGGGCGGGGCAGTGTCGCGCGCGCAGGGCCTGCTGGGAACGTGGAGGACCCGGGGGCGGAGCCTGCAGGTGAGGAAGGGACCGGAAGCCTGAGTGGGTTGAAAGAAACTTAGGTACCCGGGGCGGCGCCCCGGAGTAAGGTGGCCTCCTTTGTGAGTCTTTCCCTCAAACGAGCGGCCTCTCGTCCAGTCTTTAAAGGAATGCCTAGTTCCCCTTCTGGAAGATTGCGTGCTGCGGTTTCCTGCGTGGCCCCACGAAAATCCGGAACGGCCTCACAAGGATTGTCTTTGCTTTTTCTTGTTTTCTTACTAATATAACCCCCGGAACCTGGCACAAAGTCTTGCAAGAACCAAGAGGCAAACGCGGGTTATTCAGTTCCTGATTCATCCTACACCAGTGTTACTTGATTATATAGTTTAAAGAAAATGTCCCTTGAAAGGGAGTCATCAGGCTTTTTACAAAGTAAAGTTTTCTTTTTCTTGTCTTTTAAAAAAAAGTTTTGCTAGGGGGAAAAAAATCTAACTCTTGAGGCCTCTAATGTGTTCTGAACTACATAGGATTTCACAATTAGTGAGTCCAGACTCGTTTAACACAATTGCCTGAAGAAAGCTTATGAGGATTCCATTGGGATGCAAGGAAGTACTATGTGCTTGGTGAGCCACTTCAAAGGTACTGAAGAAGGAAAGGCTCTTCTTGGTGAGGTACAAATGAAGGCTATTGTACTGATGTGATGCCAGCATCATTCAGAGTGGATGACTCACCATCACCTGTACTCATAGCAGGAACTAGACAAGTATCCAGTGCCTCCTATGTAACTTTGTGAATTCCCAAATCGGTATTCACTGAGTAAGGCAGAAGAGTGGTACTGGGAAACAGGAATCATTATTTCAGGATTTACTCTTGAATAAGGCTGTTTAAGATTACCATCTCAGAATTGCTTGGTTTTTGGAGAAACTTTAGATTTTAGAGCTGGATGCAACCTAAGATGTCATCTAGATATCCCTACTTCCTTAGATTTTCTTTTTTTAAGATGAGAAAACCAATTCATATAAGTTAAGTGATTGGTCCGAATTAGTGGGCAGAACCAAAAATCTAAGTACTAAAGACTTATGGTATTCTTGAGTCTAAGAATCAGTCCCCTACCTGGATTTTGTATGTTTATTTTCGTTGATCAGATTAATCAGTAACAGGTTTTCTAGAATTTACTAGGTGTTTGGGATGTTCTAGATAGATGGCAAATGTATATATTTTATCATTCTATTATTATGGCAGTATTTTTATTTTTTCAGTTATTGGAGACCTCATGGAGAATCATATGATTAGGATAGACAAGATTGCAGTTGTTAGTTCCCCCATCACTATTCAGTATATTTTGCTGACTTCTCCTTTTGGTGCTACTTAAACACCTGTTTCCCCATAATTTTGTCTTTGGTCCATTTATCAGGTTATATCTTCATACAAGTGAAACTCCCACATCCATCTTCTTAGCTCTGAGAACTTTTACCCAAACATGACTGCTCTTGTGTCTGACAGACATATAGACATGGTGTCATTTGTCATGTAATACTTAAGTCCAAAATGGAGTGCTTTCCTCCTATATCATCTCCTTTCTAAGATAGGCAGTCAGTCAGACTTGTTTTATTTATCCAATCAACCTTGGATTCATTCTTCACTTCTCCTTTCTTCTCTTGTAGAAGTAGCCATTCAACATTATCAATTCTACCTCAGAAATATCTCATAAACCTGTTCAATTTCTTCAGTTATCTTTTCCCCCTAAAACTCACTTTCTTGCCTAAGATCTTCCACTGGGTTCCCCCATTATTCACAGGATTCCTTTGTTTGCCCAATAAAGCTTTTCACAGTCTTGCCTCAATACCTCTCTCCAACCCAAGCAATAAACACTTGCACTTGGACTCCCTAGTCTCCAACCATTTCCTGAATATACCTTCTTATTCTGTCATATGTCCATACTTGTACATGTGCCTTTCCTTTTCCCTATAATGTTTTCTATACTAGGGTTTCTCAAACTTTCTTGAGAATAAGAATCAGGTGGAATGCTTGTTGGTAAACAGCTGCCCCTACTACTTCCTGGGTCTGATTTAGAGGACCTGGAATGATCCCAGGAAGCTTTATTTATTTATTATTTTATTAGAAAATGAGAAGCTGTATTTTTAACAAGTGTCCTTACATGTATTTTTATCAACTATGTTTGGGAAACATTTTTTTCTCTTACTCTACCTTCAGAATGAAATTCTGTCACCTCCTTCATCTGGGAAGGCTTTCTGAATGCACAGGCAAAATCCAGTCCTCCAGGACATCAGGCATCTGCTCTAGTAGCTACATACTTTCCTTTCCAGCACTTACCAGGTTGTACTGTAATTTACCTAACCCTCCACCCAAAAAAGTTTTCTCAGTGGTTCCTATTAGCTACAAAATAAAATCTACACTCAAGGCAATTCAGCAAATGTTTGAGGATCCACTGTATATCAGATGCTGTGTTATGTCTGATACAGAGTTGAATAAGACATGAACCCTGACCTAAAGGAGCTCATGTAGTTTGGGAAGGAATGTCTTTGCTTAGCATTTCATTTCTTTTAAATCTTGTCTCAGCCTTTAATTCTCTTACCATCTCTCAAAGGCCTCTTCACTCTCTGTGCTCCTCATAGTTTCAGGCCCCTTGCAAAAACTGTTTTCTTCTACCTGGAATGCTCTTTCCTCCCCTATTTCAACTAGTTTATTTCTGTTTTTCCTCTAGCTGTCACCTTAAGAATCTTTTCCTTAAGTAATTCTTTTGTTCTCCCTGACTAAAACAAATTCTGCTGTTAATACCTTTACTTTATATCTTCTTCAAACACTTTGGAGTGTTTGTATGATTATTTGATTAATGTGTATTTCCTCTTCTGAAGTATAAGTTCCACAAAGACAGGGAACTTGTCTGCTTTTTTCAGTCCATTGTATTATAATTGCCCTGAGCCTAATTTTCAGATGTTAAATATATATTAAATGTGAAAAACTTTTATTGATGCTCTTATGCACTGGCCAACTTGAATTACTACAGGTTTCTTGTACATTCTCTGGCTGCCTTACCTCTGTGCCTTTGAGCTGTCACCTCTGCCATCAGATGTCCTTTGTCCCATCTATACAAATCGAATTCCTATCTATCCTTGAGGGTAGAACTAAAATTTAATCTCTTCTCCAAGGTTTTCCTTCATTTTTCCCACTATCAATGAGTCAGTTCTTTTGGACTTCTATTGTGTTTTATTCATACTTCTCAATTAAACTTAGTTATTTTTGAATTTTATTATATTATCTTATATTGTCTTTTCCTTTACTAGGCTATAACCACTTTGGTGGTTGAAGTGATGTTTTATTTATTATTGTAATCCTTTCAATCTACCATGATTCTATTAGGCCCCATAATAAACATTTGATATTAATCTATGAAATAAGTAGCTGAAATTTAGATTTTTGCTTCATACTTGATGAGTAATTTTCTCAAGTGTCAGGGTGCAAAAGTGATTACAACTTAACCTCCTGAAACATAACATTGCTATATACTTAAGGGAATATCAACATGGGGAGAAATATAAGAATGGTCATAGCAGCACATTTTTTTTTTGGTAGAGATAGGGTTTTGCTGTGTTGCTAAGGCTAGTCTTGAACTCATGACCTTCAAATTATCCCTCTGCCTTGGCCTCTCAAAGCACTGGAATTACAAGCAGCAGTCACTGGACTGGCCAGCAGTAAAATTTGTTATAGCCCAAACTAAAAATTAACCAAGTGTTCACCAGTAATAGAAAAGATAAATCATGGTATAGTCAAAGAATGTCATATTTTACCTCAATGAAAATGAATTATAACTACAACTGCACATAAGAATATTAAACATATAAGAAAATTATAATACTGTGTGGAAAAACAAAACTCAGAAGAATGCACACTATGTCATTCCATTTATATACAGTTTATTTATCAAGGTAGCAGCTGTGTATGTTTTGAAAAACATCATCTTTTTACGCAATGGTTTGCCCTAGCAGGCAACTTTGTAGCATTCTTTCAGGCAATTATCCTTTAGAGAGATAATTTTAACAGTCCTAATAAATATACATAAAATTAACCAGATGTGGTGGTATGCAGCTATAGTCTTAGCTATTCAGGAGGCTGAGGTAAGAGACACCTGAGCCCAGGAGGTCGAGGCTATGGTGAGCCGTGATTGTGCCACTGAAGTCCAGTCAGGGTGACAGAGTGATACCCAAATAAATAAATACATACATACCCAGATAAATAAATTATTTTGAAATGATGGCTTAATTAATCTAATTATATAGAAAAATTTTTGATGGTGCAATAACAGCTATATTAATTTTACTCCTTAAAATTCTCACTAATGAAGGGAAGTCAAAAATTTAAAAATATGAACTAATTTCTAAAAGTTTACTTTTAATGTGAGAAAGCGATTACCTCCTTCTCTAGGACTGAGTGTAATATCTGTCCAAAGTTTCTTCCTTTGCCCAAATTAAAATGGGCCAGACATTTTGTGGAAACCTTTGCATACTAGTCTCAGATATTTAATGCTTAGAACTACAGGTGTCTCTTCAGTATTGTCAGAATGATAAAACGGAATCTTGCATCTCAGAAATGTGTTTCAAAATATTTTCATGTTCTGTATCATCATTTGGAATGTTTTTCACCTATGTTGTATTTCTTTATTCATGTATTTATTAAACAAATATTGACAGAATGCCTACAATGTGCCAGGCTCTGTTATAGGAACTGGAAACACACTAGTGAAAACAAAACAAAAATCGCTGCTCTCATGGGGAGCATTCTAGGGAGTAGAGGGAGAAGATGGAAAATAAACAATAAAAAACACAGAGTATAAGATAGATAGTAGTAAGTACTATGGAAAAAAATAAAGTTGGGAAAGGGGACAGGAGGTCTTTGGAGGCAAAAGAGATGAGAAGATAGGGTTGCAACTTTAGATATGGTGGGGTGAGAAGCTGATAGAGACCTAAAGAAAGTGGAGGGGTGAACAAAATGGGCATCTAGGGGCAAGTTTTTGGGCAGAGGAGCGACCCGTGCAAAGGCTCTGCAGTGAGAGTGTGTCTAATGTACTCCAGCCAAAATGAGGAGGCCAATGAGGCTAAAGCATAGTGAGCAGGGGAAATGATAGAATGCATGGGTAGACAGATATTGGTAATGTAAGGGTGAGGGGGTGGTATCATCTTATGCAGGGGCTTGAAGACATTTGTTAAGACTTTGGCTTTTAATTGGAGTGAGGTGGGAAGTCATTGGAGGGTTTTGACCAAGCTGCTATGCAGGGAAACTGTAACAAGGTCAAGGGGTCTTTAGGGAGGTCAGTTAGAAGTCGACTGGGATAATCTCGGTGTTAGCAGTCTTAATGGTGGCTAGTGGGCAGGTTTTCATCATAGTTAGAGCCCATGGGATCTCCTAATGGACTGGATGTGGGCCAAGATGACTCCAAGGTTTTTGGCCTAAGCAAAAGAAGCCTGGAATTTTCAGTAACTGAGAGAGAGGGGGCAGGATTAGAGAGAATTAGTGTGTTTCTCAATTAGGTTCAAATCTCATATGATTGTACTCAAGTATAATAAACTCCTAGAGGTAAAGAAAGGGTTAAAAATAAACTTTGAGTAGGTAATGCAATAAGGGGGCTATATCTCATTTATGTCTATTAAATGGTTTATAGTCAAGTCTGATGAACTTTGGATTCTTTAACTTATTTCTGATTAGGGATGGACAAAAGTGTGAGACACATGGATAAGGAGCTATGCAGGCAAAACCCAGACACAGGCACCATCTATCTTTATTATAAATTAAGGCAATCAAACTTGTAGTTTTGCAAAATTATTATTATTTTTATCATGGCTACTTTTGTACTCATGATTGTGATTGAGTATTATAGATGATGAATTTTTGGTCCAAAGAAACAGAAAAAAATGCTGATAGAATGTGTACATGCTTGTTGAGTGGCTTAATAAATAACTATTTGATGATGGTTCTGCAGTATGTTTAAAGGGCAATTCTTCTTCTGTTGCTTTAGAGAGTTCATTTGGCATTCTAAAAATGGATGTAATTTCAAGGGGTGGCCGAAATGTATCAATTAGCCTGACAGCTAGGTCTTTTTAACAGATCTATAAATTTCCAATTTCCTTTGCCCTCTTAACCATGGTAAATCATCCTGAACAAGATCATTCTTTTGAACAACAGCCTCCTTATTAGCTGAGATCAATTGAGATTAGAAAATGAAAAATACACTAGATGCTGAGAACTCTTTATGAAACCACATTTGTAGGATGAGTATTGAATGAAGATTAATGTGTTATTTTCAACTTCTAAACCATTGATTTAAAAATTTATTTTCTACATCCCACTGCTAGATTAAGCACTAATATATATTTGGATGGTTTACTTGCAAGTATTATCTTTTCCCCATTGAGTTTATGTATTAATGGAAGGGAATTATTTTTAATTTAAATGTGTTTTGCATTGCATACCACATGTATTTCTGAAAGTCCTACGCATTAAATTGGGAACATTGATAATTTTTTCTCATTGAATTGTAAATTAATGACTAGATTCTTTGTTTTTATGTCTGACTGATTTTCATTTGCTCTTTGGATAAAATACAGAATCCTTGGCACATTGTGTGCACCTTATGTTATTTGGACTTGGCCTACCTTTAAAGGTAGTCTCAGCATACTCTTCCACTTTTCTATTTCCAGGCCCCAGTTACACTGGCCTTTCTTCATACCCTATTTCAGACTTAATATTTTTGCATACATTGTTTAAAATTTTAATTCTTCATCATTCCCTGCTTTTCTTAAAAATAACCCAAAACATAGTACTTATTGTACATTAATTAATTAACCAACTGTCTTCCCTTTAGTAGAAAGTAGGCTCCACAAATGCATGGATTCTATTTACTGTTGAATCTCCACATCTAAAACTGATGAATAAAGGAGTGAATGAATAGATAAATGAATAAAGGATTTCTTATCCTAGAACACAAATTTCCTTTCTCTAAAACCAGGTAGCATCTATTCATCATTCAAATTCCCCCTTGAATGTCACTTTTTTCAGGCCACTCTTTTTTGACCTCAAGATGAGATCAGGTTCCTCTAGTATTTATTCTCATAGTTCCTACTTCATAGAATGTATTAGAAATTTAACTTACATAGCTAATTATTTGTGAGATAAGTTATTTAACTTCTGTCTTCTCCCCTAAGCTGTAAGCTCTGTTGGGACCAAAACAAAACAAAAAATGTTTCTATCTTATTCTGAATTGTATTACCAATGCTACAAGTCCTGGAACATAGAGATGCTCAATAAAATATCTGTTGAAACCGGGCTCGGTGGCTCAGCCTGTAATCCCACGCCTTTGGGAGGCTGAGGTGAGTGGATTGCCTGAGCCCGCGGGTTCAAGACCCGCCAGGGCA